AGGTTGGATGTACATTGTACTCAGGCAGTTTCCTAGTAGTTTCCAAGTTTCTCTGCATTTTCTCTTGAAGTCATCTCTCTAATAAAATCCTTGCTTCGGGGCTGGTGGCACACCAGCACACCTACCTTGCAAGCAGGTGGTTGTGAGTTTGATCCCCAGTATCGATTTAAAAAAAAAAAAATCCTTGCACCTTTAATTCTATCTTTGTGCCTTCTTTTCAGAAGATTCAGACTCACACTAAATTTTCACTTTGATCTTGAAATCCATGTTCTTAGAGAAATTAACTAAAACTGACCATAGACCTAAATGTAAGTGCTAAAATTATAAAATCCTTAACCAAAAACATAAAATAAATTTTTGGGACCTTGGATTAGTCAGTGCCCTCTAAGTTATGACACAAGCAAAAAAGAAAACTAGATACATTAGACTATCAAGATAAAATCTTTTATGCTTCAAAGGAGGTCACCAAGAAAGTAAAAAGTCCACATGCAGAATGGGAGAAAAACGTTTTGATGAAGGTTGTGTATCTAGAATATATAGAGAACTCTTATGTTAAGAAAAATGTAGAATTAAAAATGAAGAGATTTTAAAAGACATTTCTTCCAAGAAGATGTGCAAATGATCAATGTACACATGAAAAGATGATCAGTATCATTAGGCATCAGAAAAATGTAAATTAAAACCCATAATCGGGTACTGTTTCATGTTACTTTGTTAACTGTAATGACAATTTGGAGAATAACAAATGTTGACAGGAATGTGGAGAAACTGGAAACTTCATATCCTGCAGCAGGAATATAAAATGGTGCTGCTGTGAGGAAAATGGGTCTGGTAGCCTGTCAAAGGTCAAACATTTGACTTATCCTTCTACCCACCAATGCCATTCTCTGGTGCATACTTAAGAGAAATGAAAACACATATTCACAAAAAGTATGTAAATGTTTAGAGCAGGATTATTGAAAATAACCCAAAATGAAAACAACTCAAACGTCCAACTGGTGAATGGACATACAGAGTGTGTAGAAATACAATATCATATTATTTGGCAATGAAATGAAGTGCCACCTGTGGTCCCTGATACTCAGTGTGTACTTGTAGTCTCAGCTACTTAGGAGTCTGATGCAGGAGGACCACTGAGCCCAGGAGTTTGGGGCCAGGCTGACAATATAGGAAGACTCTTGACTCCTAGGAAAAAAATGTTTATACTCTCTGCAATGCTGCATTGATGAACATTAAAATCACCAAGCTAAGAGAAAGAGGCCATAGACAAAGGACCACATATTTCATGATCCTGTTTAGTTGTTTTCTCATTCATTTCTTTATTTATGCTAGGGTTTGGCTTAAGGCCTTGGGCATCCTAAGCATTTGTTCTACCACTGAGCCACCTGCCCAGCCTGTGATTCTATTTATGTAAAGTATTCAGAATAGGAAAATTTATGGAGAAGGAACACACACACACACTGGAATTCATTTGTGGTACTGGGGATTGAACCTCGGTTTTCACACTTAGCTTCATTCCTGTCCAGGTAGCGCTCGAACCTGTGTTCCTCCTGCTCCAGCCTCCCACATTCTTGGGATTAGAGACATGCGTCACCATGCCTAGCCCAGAAAATATATTAAGATTTGTCAGAGCTCAGTGGGGCAGAGGAGCGACTGCCAATTTGGGGTTTTTAGAGAAATAAAAATGTTCTAAAATCCATTGGGGTCATGAATATATTTAAAACTATTGAACTGTATTTTATTTGTAAGTGACATGATAACTGCACATATTTATGGGCTATACTGTGATGTTTCAATGTATGCATACATTGTCTAATTATCAGGTCGGATTAATTAGCATATCTGCCACCTCAAACATTTATCATTTCTTTTTAATGAGAACATTAAAAATTTCCTCTTGTAGCAGTTTTGAAATACACATAATTGTTAATTGTGGTTACTCTACAATCACATTGTTTAAATAGGTAGGTTTTATAGTATATGGGTCATATCTCAGTTGTCATGGTTTATGTTGGTGACCCCCAGGCCTCATGCATTTGCATTGTGTGTTTGTGATTGGTTCATTGTCTAGTGCTTGGATTGGAGGTATGAGAGTTACACTGGCCTAGGGGTGGAGCCAGAATATAATGTAATGGCAAGAAGAAGGTGTGTTTCTCTCTTTTGCCAGTTTCTGGTTTGCTGTTTGCAGCCACCATGAACTGCAGCCCTCCCATGCCACCCTGCCATGGAGCTAATTGAGTATGGACTGAAACCTCCAAAAACTGTAAGAAATAAACCTTTCCTTTCCCAACTTTGGTCATCAGGTATTTTGTCTCAGTAACAAGTTAAACGTGACTAAGACACTCAGTAAAGTCATTTCAAAACAACAGACAACCAACCAATGCTTTGTTTTTCCTCCCCCCCCCCCTTTTTTTTTTGAGGTTGGGTCTTGCTTTGTGGCCCAGGCTGGCCTCAAATCACTGGGCTTGAACAATTTCCTGCCTCAGTTTCTTGACTGACGCATGCCATTTTAATATGGTATTCATATCAGTCATTTGACATGTATTAAATAGTACACATCTTATGATTATTTTTTAGGTCATAATGTTACTTCAGATCCTCAAAAATAGCAATGATCTCTCCATGGTGAGATTTTTGTCTAGAATTTTTTTTATTATATTTTCAAAATTTCCTCCCATTACTTTTATATTTGGAAGAGCTACATCATATGGAAATGATTTCACTAAAAACATTGTTATCTCCCAATCAGCAAAGTCTATGTCCCTTGTGGGTTCTTGCTAGTGCAGTATTTTGCACATAGTAGGTGCTTAAGATAACTTGTAAATATTATTGATGATGGTGCTAGATTTGAACGTTTTACAGTTTAATGATAAATGTCAGTTTATTAATGATAGCAGTTCAAGAGAAATGGATATTACTTATTATAAATTTAAATGATTAAAATATTTTTATTGAAAGCAAAAAAAAAGCTTTGAGTGCCAATTTCAATGCTAGATATTTAAGAGGTACAGCAGACTTAATGGTATCATTTATTTCCAAATGGACTCAGCAAGGACACGTAGGTCCTCTGGCTTCCCTCCTACCCAACATGGTGTGACCCAACATGGCAGCTCATGTTAGTGTACTGGAGTCAGGATTTTTTGGGAAGGGAAAGTTGAGACAGGTTCTCACTATGTAGTGCAGGCTGGCCTTGAACTTGCTTATGTTGCCCAGATTGGCACTGAACTCCCCACGATCCTCTTGCCTTAGCCTCCTGAGTGCTGGCATTACAGGCATGAGCTACCACACCCGGCATTCTGGTGTGCTGGGTAACTACTGTCTTTACTTTGCCATGTTTCTTTGGGAAAGCAAAGTCGTCTCGCACTTGGATTTCATTAGCCGTTCTGTCTCTTCCTCGTCCACAAGTCCCTCGGCTCCCTTTTTGGTTGGCAGGGTAGAAGGGCTGGTCACCCAGCGAGCACTGAGCACTGTGTCCCTTCACCTTCAGTCATTGAGTTTGCTTTTCTCTGGGCTTCTGCTAGGCAGCCATTTCAACGGCATTTGAGGGAAAGAAACTGAGGCACAGATTATAAGAGGCAGATCCTGGATAGGCCTGGGGAGGCTGCTTGGTGTGTGGTCAGGAGCAGACCTGGTGCCAGGCTGTCTGGGCTGAGTACCAGCTGCCCCACAGCCCTGCTGTCCCTTGGCTTTCAGGGCTGGGAAAGGATTGAGCTGGCCCATGACTTGCTATACACTGAGGACCATGCCTGGCACCGTATATAAGTTTTCAAGGTAAATATGCTAAAGCCTATCTGACTGCCGAGCAGGTAAGGCTGCAATTTCAGCCCCCCACCAAGACTAAACTCTAACAGGAGCAGAGATTTAGCTGTTCAGGATCCATGAGCTGCCCAGTGCCATTCTCAGGCGATGAATCCTTTGCTTCAGGTCAGCCCAGAGCTCGCTAGTGGCCCTCCGTGGACATCCATGCAGCAAGTCTACACTGCAGGGAGCCTGAAGCCCCCGATGTGGATGGAGCTTGCCTGTCCCCTACTATCCCACCGCCTTCTTTCCTCACTGCACTGCAGCAGTCAAGTCCTCCGCCGGTTTCTCCACCTCCACCCAGTGATTCCAACCCCCAGCCTGGGTACCCAGGGATTCCCCGCTGTTGTACCCTTAACATCGCTCGCATTTATATCACCTCGTGGTACCATTTCAGGAAAACCTTCCGGGGATCATCAGTTGTGTTCTTAGGCAAATCACAAGGGGACTCCGGGAGGTGTCCGAGGAAGGAGGGTTTCAAGGCACCGTTGGCAGGGAGCAGGCCAGGTCTGGAAACCAGATGGGATTGGGCGACTTTTCTCATCTCCGTTCTGGGATATGATGGGCAAGAGAAAACGGACCACCTTTAGGGGTTCCCTGGAGCGTAGCTGTAGGGTAGGGGAGGGCCCCAGACAATTGCAGTCCTGGCCGAGTGGGATGACACCCTTTGCCCTCCTGCGTGCTTTCCAGGGTCTGAACCAGGCACTGGGGCGCCTCCAGGCGAGGGAGGGTAGCGGAAATCAGGTGGGTCTTTCCTTCCAGCCCTGGGCTCTCTCCTCTAACAGAGCACAGGCTCCACAGAGGTCTCTCGATTTACATGTTCCTTTCTCCCCCTCGTGGGAACATACCTAGGACAAAGACTTTGAGTTGTCTTTTTTCTCCTGCAGGTTCCCAAAGCCCTGCTCAGTGGCGGGCCTAGAGTCGGTCTCTAATACTGGTTGAATAATCAACAGACACGGAAAGATCAGGTAGCGGAACGCCTTCCGGCGCGGGGCTGACCCCTGGCCTCACCGCCGCGGCGGGGAGGACGGCAGGTGCCCGCGTGCCCCGCTGCAGCAGCGCGAGCTCCCGGCACGCGTGCCCGGCTCGGCGCGCGCCTCCCAGGTGCTGCTCGGTCGTCCCGCCCCTCGGCTGCGGGCTTGGCTCGGGGACGTGCGGGGTGGCCGGCCGCGTCCCTCTCCTGGCCCGGGTGTGCCGGCCGAGGGAGACACCCCGCGCCGGCTCCCGGTTATTTTTAGTCGCCAGCCGAGCTCCCCACCCCCGGGGAGGGAGGGGCCGAGAAGGTGGGGAGGAGAGGGAGGTCCCGGCGGCCACTCGCGGCGCAGCCGGCCCGGGCGGCGCTGGGGACAGCGGCCGCGGCGTCCTCCCTCGGCCGTGCGCGCGGCTGGGCTCCGGGACTGCGCCCGCAGCAGGGCGGGAAGGGGCGGGCTGCGCGCTCCTGCGGCGGCCGCTGCGGCCGTGCTCCTCCCGGCGGCCCGGCGCTCGAGCGCACGCGGGGCTTCACAAATGGCTTGTCCCGCGCTCGGTCTGGAAGCTCTGCAGCCCCTGCAGCCCGAGCCGCCCCCAGAGCCCGCCTTCTCCGAGGCGCAGAAGTGGATCGAGGTAGGTGCGGGTCGCTGGCGGGCGGCCTCTGCAGGGGCGCCTGGAGACACTCGTCCGCGCGCGCGGACCGCAGGTCCACCCTCCCCGCCCCCCACTTTTGCCAGCTGCTCCGGGTCACCAGCCAGGACCTCGGGCGAGCTGTGGTCCCCCGGCATTTTACCACTGAGAGTTTGGGGGCGGCGCGGATGGGGGACACTGCAGTGTGCTGTGCGCCTGGGGCAGGAAGCGAGTCCCTGCGCCTTCATCCCTCCTGCCCGCCCCGCAAATCTCAGTTTGTGTCGCTTGCGGGCGCTGCCAAGGCAGGCGCAGCCAGAGCAGAAGCGCTGCAGAGGCGCAGGAAGCGCGAGTCCCCGAGTCCTTGCGGGCGCCGCATTTCGGGGCTGCCCCACATTCTGCTCCCGGCCTCTCTCCCTGCCCTTCCCGAGCGGAGCTGCCAGTGTCGCCACCGAGGTGCAAACCCGCCGGAGCCTCTTGCTGTAGTCCTGGCACCGGCTCCGGTGTGAGGCTGGCAAGGCGCTCAGGGTCGGGGGAGCCTGCAGGACCCACCTGCGAGCAGCCACCCGTACAGACGCTGTCCAGCCACGGGCAGCACCCCGAGCCTCCTCACCGGGAGGAAGGGTGGGCTGCGAGGGGTGCCCGGCACAGTCCTTTCTTAAGTGCCTCGGTGGCAGGCCAGGGAAATCACTGGACCTCTGGCTCGGTCCAGGAAGCGCTCGCTGAGTGATCCTGATTCACGGTGACTGTGTGGAGATGAGCTCCTAGCCCTGTGCTGCGGAAATGACCTGTTGTGGCGGTCAGGACGCTCGGAGGGTGTGACGGGGAGGGGGCGCCCCTGCGACCCTTACGGGAGCCTCTGCCACCAAGAGCAGAGCGGCCTTTCTCGGCTTGGCAGAGGTGAATCTGGCCCTCTCTGCCTGATAAGAGAAAGGAGGACGTGCACCGCTAAGTCGTGACTACGATGATGAAGCTTCTTAGTACTCCACTGTCACTTAGTGATCCTACCCCCGCCCCGGGCACTGCGGATCTCGGAGGTTGCCGGGGGTGACCGAGCTACGGGTTACCCACGTAAACCTGGGAGCCACTGGCAGAAGCCAGGCTCGCTGAGTGCCCCAGTCATAGGCCTGCGCCGTGCCTGGTTAGCCTGCTCCAGGCAAGGAAGTGCTCCTCAGCTTAGCAGTAAGGACCCTATTTAAAAATGGAGTTAAAGAATCAGAAGAATAAGCTGACACTGCTGCTAAAAGCGCAAGCATGCTCCCCACCAGATGAGACACTGATGTTGCCTTTTTGTTTTTGATTCCTGTCCAGAAGACTTGGGGTGTGACAGGTGCTGTATGCCTGGGCTCATAGGCTGCCCGGCAGACTTCGGCACTCTCTGGCCTGTGCAGTCAGGGGATTGTACTTTTTGAGGTTCTTGAACTTGCAAATTTTCAGGAGTGATTTTGGATGCGGGAGGGGGCGAAGGAGAAAATAAGAACAGAATAGTTTTACTGTTCCTGAGAGCAAGTGATTTGTCCCCCCCCCCCCGTTTCCTTAATTGTGAGTAATCTTGATATACTCAGCTTTTTTTTTAAAGGTACTGTGTTATAAGTTACATACAGAAAAGCACGCAAATCCAAAGTGTGCATCTCCATGAATTTTGGCAAATGTGTTTTACTACAGCCCCTCCTCGATCAAGAGACAAAACCCCTCCCAGGTTTGGTCTGTTTTTCAAGCGTTGGCATATTTCAGGTTAAATGTGTTGCGGTACAGAACATCAGCTTTTCATATCAGGTTTAAGAAAAGAAGGAAGAGGCTCCTTAGAAAGTAGAGCCCCTTTCGGCCCTGAAGACAGTTTGGCATTTTTCCTGAGACGCTGCCATTTATACCAGTTGAAGAATGTGGAAAACCCTAATAGTGCTTGTGTGGCTGTAGGACCAGGCAGCTGGGCGCACTGTGTGTGCATTATTGAAGCAGGCCTATCTCCTTTCAATTTCGGAGTTTGATTTCATGGAAAGGAGAGCTCCCCCCTCCTCCAGGCCATATAAAAAAAGTAATCAGTTCTGGGAAAGGTAGAGACCTTTCCCTTCCTTCCCAGAGGTTCCTCTTGAAATGTGAATGTCTCTCCCCAAACCGGGGGAATCCAAGGGTAGTAACAGATGGTTTTGCACGCACTTGCCCTGTGAATGAAGATTCCTTGGCTAATATAGCAATCATGTAGTACTTGGTGTAAGCCCAGTTCCTTGGGGATTCTTATCTGAAGACAATTGCATCTCCTTTAGGGGCCCCGTTGTATTTGGCAACATCCTTATTGGTAGGGCTTTGTTTTTCTCTTTTGTTCAGTTGTTGATTAAATTTCCCACAGGCTTTTTTTCCCCTTCTTGTTGAGTAGTCAAGAATTTCCCTGAAAAATGCTCCCTGGTAGTGTGTAGCAGGTTAGTAAACAAATTTGGCCACGTCTCTTTCTTCCTCAATCCTTGGTCTTCCTTGGCAAGAAAAGTTTTCATTCTTAATAAAGGCTCAAGGAAAAAGCTCTAGGACATAACTTCTTAGTGAGGAATTTCTCAGCCTGCAACCTTGGCAATTCCTGGGCAGGAAATGTGGCCTGGGAACAGGCTCCTACCTTAGCCCACCCCCAGCTTCTGCCTTTGCTGGCAAAGGTGAATGCTGTAGTGGCCACACACCATGCAGGGACAGCAGTAACACTTTCAGTGGCTTCTTATAGCCGCAGGAGCAGGCTGCATGTCTTACAGTGGATCTGGGGAACCTACTAGAGGAAACTACATATTTTAAGTATGATTGCTACCACCAGGCAGGGACATGGCTAACTTCCTCCACATCTCTTTTCTAGAAAGTTTTCCTAGGCGATGGGCAGCTAAATGCAGCATGGTGGCTTCTTGGTCCATTTTTGAACTCAGTGTCATAGGTTCGAGCCCTGGGTCTGTCATATTCTAGGTGGGTTCCCTGGGGCAAGCTACTTTTCCTGTCCTTGTGGTTCGAAGTATTTTCTTTGAAAGCTCTAGTTGTTAACAACAAAGTAACATTGTTGAAAACATCTATAAAACAGGATATTGATGATAGCTCTCCTACCTCATAGGAGTGTTATGTGGGTTTAGGATTTAGGATGTTAATTTGGAATAGTACCTAGCACTTAGGAAACACTATATAAATGATGCTTAGTACTATTATCAGCACTAATTCTTTATCATCTAAGTTTTCAAGACAGAAAATATAATCCAATTAGCAGCAGATTTCATCGTATTATTTATCATTCATTCATTTACTCATTCAGAGAGGGAGCCCAGGATCTATGCCCTCTACTAGTGAGTTACTGTTAACTCTTGCTGTTTGGACTAGAAGTAGATACTACATATTACTCTAATTTGCACTAAGGTGATTTTCCGAGCAGAGGAAAAACTGTAATAAGATGACTCCACTAGTCCAGCAAAGTTTAGGGAAAGTTTCCTCCAGTCATATGTAGGATATTAAAGTTTAATATCTAGTTTTTCATTACCAGGTTCTAGGTTCGGTGGCCAATGCTCTTCCCCTTTGCAGACAAACCAACATTAAGTTATTATACAAATAACATCCAAATATTCATCTCAAATGTAGCAGTGTTGTATTCACTGAAGATATGTTCAGTCCTGCTAGAAAAAAAGAATAAGTCCTCCTTGATTTCCCTCCTCGCTTCCTCCTTTCTTTCTGAGTTGCAGTTGTTTGTTAGTAGGTAGATGATTCTAACTTTCCTGGCCATCCTCTCCTCAGTCTCTCCACCCTGACAATATTAATCAGTTCTAATCTGTAGTTTTTCTCTTCAGTGCCAAACCCTTTCTGGAGGAACAGATGTCCCTTCAGCCTGGTTTCAGTTGTGATTTAGAACAGGTTGCCAAGCCTTTAGGGAGGGGCTGGAAATTTCAACCCTGCTCAGATTTACTTCTCAATTTGAGAAATTTCTGGACTCCTTTAACTTTAATCATATTGTGCCCGTGGGGCTTGGTGATGAATATAGTTTTACTTATGACCTAATCCATATTGCACAGAAGTGGGAACCAGGGCTGCAAGGGCACAGTTCATCATTTTGATTCATTGCCCCATGTCCTTGTAGAACTTTTTAGTTAAACATGGAAACGGAATTAAAAGCACCGACAGCGCTTTAGCTCTGCAAGACTAAAAGACATTGTATTACCTGACAGTTGGGAAACTTTCTGAATACTCTTTGAGATAGACTAGCATTTGGTCAGTAACATAGGACACAATGTGTCAGTTTTATAGTCATCCTAATTCTCTACCTCCATAGGATGGAGCCTTTAAAAACATTTTTTTTAAATCTTATTTTATCGGTACTGGGGATTGAACTCACGACTGCCTGCTTCTAAGGCAGGTACTTATGCCGCTGAGCTAAATCCCCAGCCCCACCTTTTTTTTTTTTTTTGAGAAAAGGTCTCACTGTGTATCCATGCTGGCCTTGCGATCATCTTGCCTCTGCATCCTGAATTCTGGGATTATTGGAATGTGCCACAACACCCACATTACATCTCCTTAAAAATCACAACAACGATTTCACTTGGCAAATGGTCCTCCAGTTCCACATGGGAGAGATGAGGAAAAAGAAAAAGAAAAACTTTTCTGGCGAGATCAAAAAGGAGTAGTGATCTGAATAGGTATGTAAATTAGAGAAAGCAGCCTGTTTCTCACAATGACATTGAAATAGTCTGGCTGGTTTGTGTACAAGTGCTGCCATGACACAATGCTGTCACATGGCAGAACAGTGAAGTCCCACAGATTTGGGGAGAGAGGAAGCAGCACTGGAGGTGGAGCCAGCGTTTCTTGCCCCAGCACCTCATTGGAAACCAGTTGCATCAAACAAGTTCTAAATGGGCGGAGTGAGTACTGGCCACTACGAAGGGCGGAGCTCCTGTTCCCAGCAGCTGGAACGCTTGGCCCTGCACTCATTGATGGATGACAAAGGGGCCATGGTGCAGACATCTGGCTCTGCTTGAGAGTGGCAGTCAGTGCAAGGTGGA